CTACTCCATGGAACCATTGTCCTTGGATTCATTTGAAAGGGCTCATAAAGACCTTGGTAAATGTGATAATCTTACTTTACTTTCCAAATGGTGGACCCAATACCTTAGTAAAGGATCTTCGTTGTGCCACTACGTAGAACCATCGTGTTTAAAATCACTTAAATACCAAAGTGCCTGTGATAATCTCACCTACCTGATGGTGGACTCCCAAGGTGGGTACAGGATATTAGTGATGGCACTACCCAGAACTATCGTGTTTGAGCTCATTTGAAAGGACTTGTAAAAACTTAATTAACTGTTATGACCTCACCTTTCTGATGGCGTAATCCGAAGGTGGATATAGAATCTCAGTTACGGCACTAGATAGAACGATAGCAACATACTAATGAATCTTAAAGTTTGTTTTTACATTGTTCTCTCAAATAATAATTCGGGGAAAAAGTTTCTTCGTATTTTATATACAAATTCAAGATTTTTTATGATAACTTGTTGCGATCTTGAGACTGCTAATGAGACTCAAGCAAGAATGCTTGAGTCTCATTAGTTGTTGGCAGTAGAGATCCTAATCGATGGTATTGCCCGGCGGTAAAAGCTCATAATAAATGATGCCCTTCCAATGCCACCATACACACAGCATCACCTTATGCGTGTTAATCTGGGTTTCGCTATAGTCTGTGGAGCTTTACTACCCTCTGACCATGATCTTTTTCGCAGGTTCTTGTCGTAGATACTTTTCATCGCCAGTGATCAATCTTTTCAAAAATGTTTCGTTTTCATTACGTTTCAAATGAGAATCGCAAATGGGTACACGATTCAGTAGCTTTCTTTCAGTGAGCTCGTGTGGTACCGAAATATCGAGCTTTTTTATAGCCAGACTTTATCAAATGGTTCAAAACTGTTTTGTGGTCAATCCTCGATTCCTCGGCTACGTCTTAACTACTAATTTGCCGATCTTGCTCCATTTTTTCAAAAATGGCATCGACTTTATGCGTATAAGGGCGACCAGAGGCTTGCGCGGCTTGAGTCGCATTTTTCCCTTTTTTGTAATAAAACTTCAGAATATATCGAATTTTTTTGTTAGATTCACTCATTTTGGCGGACTGCAAAACGATTGAAAAATGGCGGGAAAGTGTTACTTTGCTTTTTCTTTTTCTTAATGTCCTATATGTTGTATTGATATTAAAACCAGCCAGATAGAAACAGTACAAGCAAAGCGATTTTTCTTCGATTTTATACAAACAAAATGGAAGAAACTTTTTCTCTAAGTCCCCGACCTTATAGTTTTTGTAAAAATAATTTTGTTTATTGTATATTTAGTTATAGGCAAACATTAGTAATTTATATGTAGGTATATTATAGAAAATACGTTCAGTAACAAAATTGAAACATTATAAGTAATGAAAAAGCCAGTAAATTATTTATTCAAATTATTAACGAATATTAACTTTATCACTCTGTGTCCACGTTTTCCATCTCAGTATTTACTTAAATGATACATCAGATTTAGAGTTTTTCCATTGTTAAATTTAATATAGTAACCATTCTTTTAGAAATGGAAAAAATATAAGACATTATATTACAGTGAGACAGTTGTAAATTAAATGAATAATTACAGAGTAATCGCACGGCATTGTTACTCTTTGTTGAAAGCCCTCGGTAACAACGAAATATCGTCCGTGACGTAGGAAGGAGAATTGCGGCCGCGCCAATCGAGAAATGACCGTTTGAATTAGGAATGTTGATAAAATAACGATATTTCGAATTATTGATATTATTATTAGAAGAAGAGATATTGATATCTATTACTAATATTTTTGGACGACATATCGATAGTTTGATAATGAAATATAGAAATCAATAGCCGATATTTTTTTAAATAATAAGTTTTCGTTTTTTTCTCGTAAATCATTTAATCTACAACACCATCGTAAACTTAAATCTTAATCCTTGATGGACCCAGTCTACTGTACTTTACTTACACTATATTAAGCTTTTCCTTGTCCCCCAGATTATTTATTTGCTTCTTATCTTAAAAGGAAATGTAATTTTGTATAGTATATCTCTGTGGTATTAAAATTACTGTGGTATTAAACTTACATCTGAAGGAATTGCTTCTGCATTCAATCTTTTAGTGCCCAATAATCGTAGTAGTTAAACAGCTGAACATAAAAAACAACGAGTATTTTTGAAGACTCTTACTGAAAAATATTGGTACACATAATTGTCTTATTTAAATTAAACAATAATTAGTAAGAACTATAACCTAACATTTTCATACACTTATAATTTAATTTGCTTAGTAATTATACTAAATTATAAACTGTGTAAATCATTTTCGACTTACGATTTTGTTTGATTTCGGTGTATGTAAACAAGATCCTTCTGCCAACGCCAAATTTATTGATATTATTGACAGTGACAGCCGATGGAAACACTGGCATTTAATTTTTAGTGATTCTTCCAAACCCGGTTCCGAGGAGTATGTGGGAGTTGGCGTTTTCCATCAACAGTTTGGCATTGTACAGAAAATAAAATTGCCTCCAGAGACTTCAGTATTTACTGGAGAATGTTTTGGTGTGTTGAAATCTCTGGAGTACATTTTAATCATGAAGTTAAAAAAACTCAATAATTTTTACCGATGCTAAAAGTGCCCTGCAAGCCTTGGAAAGATTTCCTTTTAGCAGTAACAGAAATAATCATCCAGTTATTATTGCATGTCGTGATTAATTAAATAGTTAATTGTATCAATGTTGCATCAAAAATTACACAGTTTCTTTTGTTTGGATTCCGGGGCACTCAGGTACCTTTGGCAACACCAAGGCCGATAGCCTTGCCAAAGCTGCGGTCAATGACGGAGATCTGGTTCCATACAAAAACTTTTGTTGTGATTTGGCTCTCCTTCCTAAATCCCAGTTATTGAATTCTTGGACACACATTTGGCGTTCTTCAAGTCAGACTATAGGTCGATATTATAGCACGATCTAGGTGGATATACCTCTTAAACCGTGGTTTTCAAATCTGACGTTTGGTAAAGCTATCACTTCGACCCTTATTCGTATGAGGCTTGGCCATGCAGGCATTCCCTTGGACTTGGCAAGGCTTAACCTTTTGCCTAGTGATATATGTGAGTGTGGCAATGGCGTTGCGGATTTTAATCATATATTCTTTGCTTGTCCACGACATGACCGTTTCGCTTTTATTTCCTCGATTTAGTCCATTAAAATTCCTTTTCCTACTTCAATTTTTGTCCTTTTATCTTATAGATATAAATATTGATGTATATCGAATTTTAGCCAGTTTCATTTTTCATAACAATATAAAATTATAACCATTTATGTACTTATATACTAAATTTACCTGATCCTTTTCTAAATTCCGTTCCAAATCAATAAAATAAATCTTACTTCCTAACCTTTTTGCATGGCTGACGCACAAACCGTGCAGGCCAAAAAAAGGAAAAAAGTCTGTATAAAATTTACCTAGATAATATAAGTAAAATAAAATTGTAAAATAATTTTTAAACTTGGTAACAATCTATACAAATAAATAAAATTGAGAGTTTTGGCGGGAAACTGACCGGCGGCGGTTTGCTGCTCCTGTATTATTGTTTAAATAATGGTTTGAAGTGGACTTTGATATGTAAAAGTGTTGCGATTTTGTGTATTAAGTGTCTACGCATGTGAACTATTAGTGGAAACAGTGAAACAAGTGCTCTGATGGTGATGGATTCTCAAGATAAGCTGTTTGTTTGCATAGGCACCTTTAGATACCATCGCCAACTATCAGCTGTCTGCTGGATCAAGTTGCCGCCAAAATCTCCCAAGAACTGCACAATGTGACGCATCAACATATTGTGAAGCAGTATACTATGAAGGAGTGGGGAAATTACAATAAACCGAATAAAAATACTTAAGACTTGGCCTAAAGGTCTAGATACCAGGCCATAAACTCCAAAAAAAATTGAAGTGTCTGTTTGTAATGTCAAAATTACAGCTTTTTACGAAATGCATATGAAAGTATATATGGTACTAATAACGAAAAAACAATTTTTAAAGTTTTTGTATGTCTGTCTGTCCGTCTGTCTGTCTGTTTGTTCCAGATAATCTATGAAACGGCTAGACCGATTTTGACGGCATTTCCACTGGCAGATAGCAGATAGCTGATGTCACAAGGAGTAATTTAGTTTACTTTTATTTTAGAAAAAGCATTAAATATGGTTCCGCGCAAAATAATTAAAACCCCAAATAACACGCGGGCGAAGTCGTGGGGAACAGCTAGTATTATAATAAATAAACCCTACAACAATTACCCTACTCCTGTTACTCTGCGTTCGTGTCATTCTCTCGAAGTTTAGTTTTCTGAATGTCTCACTTCCGTCGCGTGTGAACTGCACGCATGTTTTTTTGTTATGTGACAGAGGCACGCTGCCTATATGTGTATTATGTCTGCGGCACGAATGGGCGACATGATTTAGAAAGGATCACATTCTCACAAAATTCCAACGTGAAATAGCAGCTTCTCTCATGTTTTCCCTCTTATTTCTCTCTTGTTTTTGCTGCTTTGTTTCGTATAGACATGTAGAGAACCAAATACCTTTTTTTCCGGTAACAAGGCAAGGCCTTATAAGAGGTGACAACGCATATTATACATTTCGACCGATCTCTCAGACATGCCAGGTTCCTAACGTCGTTTTCCTTCGCCGCCTAGCACGTGTTAAATCAGCGCCTAAAATTGCAATTAACAATGTCATGGGTACCGGTGGATGGATAGAGAATCCGGTATGCTCACGTACTGTGAAATATACAACGAACGTTTAACCCCTAAGCTATCACGGCTCTCATGAAATCTATTATGCTCCGTGGAATTGATATATTTCGATAATATTAACGTTGTCGGCGTGAACTTCTTCTTTTGCGTGGAAAAATCTTAAATTTTCCGTGGATGAACTTAGTGTCTTTAAAACAATGTAAAAATTATATTTTGTATTAATTTATGTACAGAAAGTTGTTACGCGAAGAGTACGTGCCGCCATACTTTCGCAATATGCTGGGAGGGGCGGCGTGGTCGGATATCAACCAGGCAGCTGGAGACGCGGTTGCCTTGGCTGAGCACAAGACTTGTGGTTGCGTGTTCCGTGGAGCCTCTGCAGCAGCCGCTGGCACCACTGAACATCTTGGCGAATAGTTTAACTGTTTGTGTTTTTCATTTTGTCAATTAAAGTTTTAAAAAGTTGTGTTTCGTTTTATAAATCTGCGAATTCCAAATCGACGTTGTAACTGCCTGTGTAAGCATACCAATTTTCATAGTGATCGGTTGAATGGTAGGTATAGAACATAGAAGTAATTGAAGTTGATGTGCTGCGTCGCCATCTAGTGATGAGTTACAACAAAAAAAATAAAACTTAAATATCCCATGCCAACATTCATAACGATCGGTCAAACGGTGTCGAAGTCTACTTATTAATAGGTATCAAACGCGCCATTAATTTTTATTATATAGATTTATAAAATACAACTCTTCACATTATTCACTGCTGAATATAGGTACCTACCCATGTACGTGGTAGAGCCATGCTGCAGCTATATTATGGTTGTAGCACGAATGGGTCTGCTCGACCGGGGAAGGACCACGCTCTCACAGAATACCAGCGTAAAATAGCAGCTTAACGCTGCTGTGTTTCGTATGGTGAGTGTAGAGAACCGGAGACCCTTTTTACTGGAAACGAGGCATCCCATCTTAGTCCTCACGGTTGACAACGCATCTGCATTTTGATTCGTAATACAAGATAGATGTAGATGTCTATGGGCCACAACAACCACTTACCATCAGGTGGACTGTGTGCTCGTTTGCCACCCTTATCCTATATAAAAAAAGAAAAAAAAAGCCTATGCCTTCCCCCAAGGAATATCACAAATCACGGTCCTAAGCCCGCATTATATGTTATAACTAGGTACTTCCATCATGTCCTACCAGGTTGTTACTCCATCTAGTAGGAGGCTACTCCTATAAAAGTTTTCTTCCCCACCGTTTGTTTGTTCGTCGAGCTATACCTACTTATTACGAATCCAGTGACGGATTATCCTTAAGGCAAACTAGGCACGTGCCTAGGGGTGCAAGGTTAAAAAGGAACGCGCGCGGAAGTATTTAAATGAAAAAAAAAACACCCTCACTCTCTCATCACAGTTCATTCACGCCCACCTGCTAAGAATACACGTGTCCTAATTATTTTACAACTATAATATAGTTTATAATATAAATTATAACTTATAGGTAATTTAGGGCCGCCAGGTACTAGCCTAGGACGCTGTCGATATTTAATCCGCCTCTGTACGAACCCATTGACACTTCAGCTTAGGTTGCTGGTTAACCTACTGGTCCGCTTAATAAGCCTTTACCTACTGTTGTAGAGCTCCTTGCCTCTACATAATAAGTATATAAGTAAGCCGCGCCGTGATAAAGTCTATTTTCCTTCAAAAATCTACTTAAGTAGGTATTAGATACAAATATTTTCCTTGTTTTTGTATGTTTCCATACTAATACTTTACTTGTAACTGTAACATTTTCCATCATACTTCCCGTCTATTCTTGTATTTATTGGTATTTTTATATTTAATATTTTTTTAACTTAAATGAATAACTTATTTACACATTCCTCTTAGTCATTCGTTGTTGACAATTATTTGCGTAATAAAGTTGTTTGGATGAAACTGCTTCCAGAACGATAAGACCGCCTATTGTACCTTCTTTATTTAATTTATTTTGTTTTTGTTACAATGTGTATCGCTGCCACTTACCTCTAATATATGTATATAGTACATAAGGGTACGTATCGTTGTTTAATAAAGAATTATATTGATCGATTGATTGATTGATTGAAAACAACATCAAAGTAGTTTAGAATTTTATAGATAATAACTTTCATTCCCCATTTTCCTCCTTATTAGGTAGAGGTGGAGTAGGTAGGTAGAAAAAAAATATTATGCCAGTAAAAAAATTATTAAAATTTTTATTCCTACCAACTTTGTAAAAATGTAATTTTACGGATTTTATCGTGTATATTAACTTATTTTACATTCCCAACGTTTCAAGCACTTTACAGCACCCATGGTTACGGGGGAGACTGAGGTGTATGACCTGGAGGTAGCCATGGTTAACTATGACATTGGGACGTCATACACCTCAGTCCCCCCCGTGACCATGGGTGCTGTAAAGTGCTTGAAACGTAGGCAATGTAAAATAAGTTAATATACGCGATAAAATCCGTAAAATTAGTTTTATTTAAATGTGTAGTGTTCGCGTAAATATAAGAAATCATTATTTGTAAAAATGTGTTCGAACTCATATTTCCAACTGTTGACAAATCAACAAAAGTTGACGACATTTGTTTCCGAAAATGTTTCAAAATGTTGCAAGAAACGTCTCCACCGAGGGAACAAAATTTGATGTTGCCGCCGAAAATGGAAACATGATTTCGTTTTGTTGCTAAAACTAGACCGACATTGTTTCGTTTTGTTGCTAAAACTAGGTGATTAACAGAAACATTTGTCGGCAACACGTGTTGATAAATGTTGTGTTGACAACAAAACTTTGGTGGAGACGCGCCATTAGGCACTAACGACGCGACTCTACATCGGCGTACATCTACTGAGTGTGAAGTTAACAATTATTGCCATCTGTGAAACAAGGCTTTATGCTCTTGAAAAATCTCTTCTTCCGTATTCAAATTACGGGGCACGCACCTCGTATACCTAGGTACTCGACCTTGCGGTGTGTGCACGCACATTATCGTGCATGAATACAAAATATTGGAAGAACTGCGGTTAGTGAGTGATGACCAAGAATTGCACAACCTCGTTGCCTACGTTATTTAAATTGCCTCGTATCCAAACGAGATTTGTTCTTCCACCTAGGCACATTCTAGTCCACACCATATTGTTCCGCTTCAGTAAGGATGAGCTTCCAAAGGACTTTGGGGACCACCAGGAACGCCCAACAAGCATAGGTACTCCTTGAAGTTAAAAAAATTAAAAGTAAGTAGTTAATAGCCCGTAATAAACGACGCTATCGATTTCCACAACCCAGAGCTAGAAAGAACCTTAAGCGGCCTGCGAGCGTGAAGATTGACGTCATATTTTTTTTCAATTTTGCAGTCTTTAGTTATCAGAAAACAATCTCGAATTGTCAACTGATAGTTTGGTGCTGATATTGACGTCTGCCTACCAATTAGCAAACTGTGATCTAAAGCTGCTTCCTTGCAGCATTTTGCGGAAAACGATCTTGTCTCTGAGTAGTGATCCTTGTTTGCGTAAGTTTTCGATTATAGGCGCAAAATAATTAGGTAGGTACAGTGTCCGCTACCATAAAGTTTATAATATAAGACATAAGAAAGCAGCGATAATTGTTTTTCACACAAAAAAAACGAACATTAATTTAGATATCTAATCTCTACGATAATTGTTACTTAAGAAAACTCTATGCCTAGGTACAATGGGACAGTTAATACCTACCTAAAGTAGTAAAGCCACAGCAACTAAGTATATTATGATTGCAGCACAATTGGGTCGGTTCGGCCGGCGAAGATCCACACTTCCACAGAGAGACGAAAAGTTTTCGCATTTTGGTTTTTGGTTTTTAAATTTCGAACTATTATTAGAGTTATTTTATATGCAAACGTCATTTTAAAGACAAGTTACATTACACATTAATGGTACTTACCTATATTGATAAAGTTTTCTTAAATAAGTCTAGGCTTGTTTCAGTGGCGTAGCGTCCCTTAGGCGGGCCCTGTATCAAAATTTATTAGGGGGTCCAAATCAAGAGCGAAGATTTTTCACAAAAGAAACAAAAACGGTCGCATTGAATTAAATAATTATATATTGGTTATAAGTTATTACTTACAATTAATACTCTAGGAAATAAACTAGCCAAACAATTTAAATTAAATATATACCTACTTTTTACAAATATACAATTTATTATATTCTATCATTCATAGCTGAAGCAGATATCAGTTTTTCTAAATTTTCTGCCTCAATACACAATAGTGACAAGTCTGATAGCCTTTCCTGTCCCATAGAAGTACTTAGAACTTTCCCTTATACACATTTGGGCCCCCTATAGCCCGGGGGCCCCGTATCATTGATACGGCTGATACGGCGGTAGCTACGCCCCTGGCTTGTTCCCTAGATTTTATATGAGAACTGAGTTGGCTAATAAGTATCTATATATAGATAGATAACTAGATAGAAAATACTTTATTGCACTCGACCAAAAAAAATTGGTACAAAGGCAAACTTAATGCGGAAAAGGCATTCTCTACCAGCTAAGCTTTGGTAGCGTGGTGAGGGCTGTGGGTTGAGCCGCAAGAGAAAAAAAATAACTTATTTACACATATTATTCATATACATTAGTTCATATTATTAGAAGGCATAGGTAGGTACATGTACTTATGAGATAAAGACAGCTAATTTGTTGAGCGTAGTGATAGAGCAGACCACTCTATTTCACTCCTGACAAAATATCTGCAGCATCCCCACAACGGCAATGCCTTGCCTGGCGAATTTCATTGACTTGGTTGTGGAGGCTTCGTCGGCCGCTTGGTAATAGCTAGCAGCCGATTGGTGTCTTCTCATAGAGCGGTGTGGCCTCGCACTCTAATTTGTGTGTGAAACGAATAGTGGAAGTGTCACGCATGTAGGCGAATTCGTCTCTTTTTCCCCACCGCTTTATCGTCCTCGGCGTCGAGCCAGTGGCAAAGGAGCGCGGCGTGCGACGCTATTGGTCCACATCGTAGCCAATGTGTGCATCGCCCGCGTTCGGCCCTACGCACGAAAGGGACCGCAGCACATCGAAGCCCGGGCAGTCCGTCCCGGGCCCTTGCTAAGGATTGTGTAGTCGATGCGATTTGCATGCGTCGCCGGTAGTTTGTCAACAAATGCATTAATTATTTGTGTGTGCATGTGCAATATATTCGGATACCGCAGACATAACACGTAAACACAACGCGGAATCTTCACGTGAGTAGTTGTTTCTAATATAAGTAACATTACTCTTCGCGCATAATAGATGGCGCTAGTAACCCTGTCGTCAAAAATCGTGTCATTGAACCGGGCCAGCTAAGCTAAGTAGCGGTGAAGGCGACCAGCGACCTTACCAGTGCATCATAATCTTGTTTATTATTTAAA